AGATAGTCAAGCCCAGCCTGGACTTGGTCCTGTGCAGCCTGCTCTGGGTGACCCTGCTTCGGCAGGGGGTTGGACTGTATGACCCCCAGAGGTCCCTTCCAATCCCGAACATTCTGTGATTATTTTATCTGGGTTTGGGGAGTGCTTCTGTGGGGCCTCCTGCTCACCCATGGCTTTCTGAAGCAAGAGATGCCAATACTCTGGTTGTAGTGTCGAACAGCTGTGGAGTAAATAAAATGGCAGTCACCTTCAGGTACCAGGAGAAAGAAGCAGCTCTGCAGCTGGAGCTACAGGTTCACACTCTCTGATCTTTGTTCATGTGCATCCCTTGTGGTTTTGGGGTATGAGTAGTTGTGGAGGGGAGCAGCCTTGCTGCGTCCCAGCCCTGCTCTGAGTGGTTCCTGGGTTGGCTTCTCAGGCTCACGGAGGTGAAGGGCATGGCTGACCGGATCATCAGCATGCGGACTCAGCTGGTGTCCAACCTCAAGAAAGAAGGGTCCTCCCACAACTGGCAGCACATCACTGACCAGATCGGCATGTTCTGCTTCACAGGGCTGAAGCCTGAGCAGGTAAATGCAGTTCCTGTGGTCTCAGGGTGTTGTTTGCAGTCCTTGTCGGTACGATCCTGACTGCAGGTGCTAAAATGAGCCCTCGCGAGCAGTTCTTCTGCGGGAGGAACATCCTCCAAGCCTGTGGCGCTGGAGCATCGCGGGGACCCAGGTCTTGCTGTGCTCGTGGCAGTTGAAAGCAAACATAGCCTGCTTACCTGTCAAAGGAAGCGGTCACTTGGTGCCGCTCTGAGGTGGCCTTAAAGGTCAGCTCAAGCGAAGTGACTCTCCTGGCAGAACATCTGCAGTGTTTGCGTGTTGCCCGAGAGCTGGGCAGCATCTCTCATGGTTTACAGGGGGTACCACTGGCTCTGCAGGTAGTGGGATGCCGTGTCTGCTGGCTCCCAGTTTGCTTTCAATTCTGGCAAGCTGGGTAAATCTGCACTCAGAGGTTAGCCTGCGGTTTGAACTCTGCTTTTTCGCCCCAGGTGGAGCGGCTGACCAAGGAGTTCTCCATCTATATGACAAAGGACGGACGAATCTCTGTGGCGGGAGTTACGTCCGGCAATGTAGGTTACCTGGCTCATGCCATCCATCAAGTCACAAAGTAAAGACGACAAAGGTATGCCCTGGAGCTAGTGGCCTTCCCTTCCCCACCGGTTGAAGATGAGGAGGGAAAGGAAACAAGCAGAATACTTCCAACCACGGCACTTGACGCCGCTGCTGAATGTATCTTGTAGATGAGTTGTTGTAGAAGCCTAGTCAAAACCGCCCTGCGTTGCGGAGCAGGGACATCGCTGCTGGCTCCTACCCATCACAGCCATTCTCCCCCACTGCCCATCCCGTGTCTGTCAGCCCCAGCACCCACCTGCGCTGGAAGAACCAAGCACTTGGCGCTGCCATCCTGCCAGCGTCGGCACTGGAGGCTTCCCCACGCTCATTTCTCGATGAGAAGGCATTGGGAGGCTGTTGGCCGCGGGAAAAGGAACTGGGTGGGCAGAGCTGCTCGGGGGTGCCCCTGCCACCTCCAGGCAGGCTCCGTCCTCCGACGACCAGCTCTGAGGACTTCTCGCTGCTAGAATCTGCTCCATCACTGGCTTCCCCCTTTCCCTCTCTG